TCTGCTCGTGGCTCGCTGTAATTTTCAGTGCACAATCGCTTGCTAATATGAGGAACATGGAGAACGATCTGAAGCAGATCTCAATGGCCATGATGTAAGTTCTAAATTTTGTTGCATAAATGACTATAGAAATGAATTCGTAGTATCTGTTGACTTGCAGCTTGTGTTTAGCTGAGAACTATTAATTGTGTTTGATTAATAATGATGAAGGTTCTTATGGTGTGCTCGTTGGACTGGTTATTAAATTTGGATTTGTGGGTTCCTTAGCATGTGAACTCTGTTTTTTCTTCGATCATCGATATTCTTGAACTTAGAAACATATGAGATCTTCTTGTTTCCTTGTAGGATGTTTCGAGAGCCGATGAATTGTTAATTGTGTTATGAATGAAAAATGAGGAAAATAGGAAATAGAGTTATGAACTAGTATGTTAAATTGTGTAATGAAATGGGAAATAACTTATAAGATACTATAGAATAAGGCTGACCGTGCTTACTTACGAGCTCTTTAAAAAAACTACACTCTTATACATCGTATAGAAGTTTTCGTGTGCTTATGATCGATGTCTATCGATTACTTTTATTGCGTGGAAAAAATAAGGAAAGCCTTTCTTATGAATAATATTTGTTTCTCGTATGTAATGGAAATAGGTATCTTTGCATTATGTTTCCATAAGGTTTTCGTTTGGATAATAACAATGTTTGTAAAGCTACTGGATTTTGTCATATCCACACTGAAGAAAACATTCGAAAGCCAGCTGGATGTATTTTTGTGTTTTTCAAATTCCTAACGCGAACTACTTCAACAGTTCAACCTTTGTTTTCCTCCATTTTCTTTAGGAAAAAGTGCCGCTGGTTACATAAATCATTTAAGAACTTAGGATATACGTGACATTAAGGTATTTGATTGATTGGAAAAGGTGTATGTTTTAGCAATCCCCTTCTTGGATTGATTTGAAGTCCTTAGTATGTACAATTGTTGTTCATTTTACGCCCTATTAATCTTTTCTTTTTGTCGGATTCCAGGTTTGGAATCATGGGATTGGTGACAAATTACATGGGGTTGGGGCCTCGGCCGAGCCCCAAAACTTAGCAATCTTAGATAAAGGATTTTTCAGTGTTGTAACTTGTAAGCTTCTTGCTCCTGTTAAAAGGTTGCAGTTCACGTATTTTGCTCATCTAAAAAATTCTAAGACCATAATATCCTTTCACTTTGGTGTTGGTTGTGGTGGGTTGAGGATATGAATACTGAACATCACAATCTAAGGTGGATCACTCAACTGGTTTTCTTGTCTTAAATCAGATTTTACTTCTTTTTTCCGACCTGTAATCAAATGCTTCTGTCGTGATGTTGCATTTAGTTAGTGTTATTATAGTTCGTTCCGCATTTAGTTATGGTGTTATTATAGTTATGGTGTTATTATAGTTCGTTCCGCATCAGTTTGTTTTATGATTGTATATGACACGATCACTCTCGCATCTCTTTTGACTTGTGTATGGCGGAAAAAAGAATGAAATTTTGATCTACTAACTTTGGTCGTTTCTTATTCTGTTACACCAGCCTTTTGAGATTGCTATGTGGTACAATAGCTTTCATTTGGTGTCATTTATCCGACACAATGTGGCATGAACTTTAAACTGAAATTCTTGCTGATTATGAACATAAAACCTAAAATAAATTGAGGGGTTTGGCAGAAATCGATAATAGCTGCGAATTCGCACTACAATTTAGATTAGAATTCCCAATGATCTAGATGTCGATCTTTTACCTGAATATACCATTTGAAACTATAAGTGATCATTACAGTGAAGAGCAATGATTAAGGTTAATGAATTAGTTCTCTTATTGAATAAGATTGTGAAGTTGAATCGATGATGTTTGAGTAAACCTTTTACTAAGATAAAGTTGATCGAAACAAAAAGCCAAAACTGCAGCAAGAAAAAGCGATGAATGTGATGATCAGATGCATATATAACATGCAAAATGATGTGAAATGTTTACAGTTTTTGATATCTGAGCCAGTCATTGCACAAGTTTTACGAACCATCGTCCCAACAATACTATTTATGTTCTGTAATCTCGGTTACTTGCTTATCAACAGGAAACAACAGACACATTATGAAAATACAATCAAGAAACTATTCAACTGGAGATCAAGTTTCCTTCCAATTCTGACATTTCATTTCGCTGCACGACTTGGCTTTAATAACTCGTGCTAAATGCGTTAAATTGATCGATAGCAGCTGATGACGGTGCAAAACGAATATCCATACAATGTACACTTATTCGTGGCCGTTAAATGTCATACACATACACAACTTGCGTTTGTTATGCACCTAAATGAATAATCATGCGAATGATTCACTGAAAAATGATTCAAGAAAATACTCCCTCAAAGCATAGTACGGTGGGATGAACGATAGCTCGTTGCTCGGGACGTAGGTTTTTCGACTCATCAAAGACAAATTTAAATCCTTAAACAAACTACCTTTCTTACACAACAAATAGCTCATGATCCATTTAAAGTTTAACCCCCCAAATGCACTTACTAACACTTCATTTGCTCAACGAGATACTCCAAGTTGGCGAAAGACGATCCGCCCCTACCGATACTTCTCCTCGCCATTTCCTTCAATTTCAAAGCATTCTCGATTATAACCCGGTTGCTAAAAACCTCGTTCACCTTATCCTTAATCTCATCCCTCCCGACAAACATGTCCTGTTTATTCCTTTTATTGTTTATCCCTTTTCAGACACACGCCTCACACACGCATGTTCTCGTGTACATTTGGTCCCTGAAATATGGCTAGCACACAAGCGGGACACCTGAGCCCACACTCTCCACGAACGAGGCCCATCCGCAGTGAGTCACGAAGCAGCCCACCGACTTGTGGCCCAACACCGGCTCATGTGGGGCCCACTCGACGGTCTTCCCTTGACTCGCCAAAAGTCGGGTACGGGCTGCGGGCTAGGCGGGACAGGCCACCCACAGGAAGGCCGGACCCGCGAGCTTCAGCCCGTGCGCTAGCTCGTCGAGCTGGCGCCCGCTGAACCTCGGTGTGCTGTCTAAGGCTACGTACACGACCGAGCTCGGGCACTGCCGGTCGACCTAGGACAGGCAGGTGGGGTCTTCCTCGCAGAAGCTTCCAGAAGACGGGCACTTGGCTAGGAGTGTGCCTACGGGCAAGAGGTTCGGAACAGGTCGTGGGCCAAGTGTCCAGCTCGTGGAACCAGTTGCAGAGGATCCAATCAGCATCGACGATGTTGCGGACCGCGGCCATGGTGACTTGGAATATCGAGTTTCGTGTGGCGATGTCTCTCGGGAAGTGCCACATAAGGTCCGATGAGGCCATTTTCGGCATTTTTGCATGAAGTTCGATGCTTTCGTCCTGTGATGGAGTCCCTGCAGAGCAAATTTACCCAGAATGTAAGGACTTATGTTCACACAACAATAAGCTTTTATTTTTTTTACCACTTGTGTAAATAAGAAATCTTTAAGCTTTTACAATCATTGTCATCAATCCTTGCTCGATAAGCTGCGTTAATGAATTTTTAGTACTTTCGGAGAAAGAAATGATTTTTTTTTTTTTTTTTTTTTTTTTTTTTTTTTTTTTTTTTTTTTTTTTGTGTCCTGTATTTATAGTTTGGCTACTTATCTAGAAATGCAAGATCATGCATTTTTTGCAATTTGTGTTCTGTTTTATCATGCTTTATGTCAAGTCCTGGAAGTTCGTCCTACCCGATGGGGCACTACACTGCCACCAAGGGGTTTTTAGCCACAAATTTCATTACAATTGACCATCAAAGAACACCGATTACCTTCAAAATTACGCGAAACTCCTCAAGTTCAATTTTCATTCTTGATACGTAAGGCATAGTAACTATAATACTCGTATAAGTACATCGATACGTTTGGGTGTCGGGTTGGAAAAAGACTTTCTTCTTATGAAGGGGGGAAATGTAAGATGGTATCAAACTTCAAGGATGTTTTGCAATTTCGATAATACTCGTATAAGTACATCGATACGTTTGGGTGTCGGGTTGGAAAAAGACTTTCTTCTTATGAAGGGGGGAAATGTAAGATGGTATCAAACTTCAAGGATGTTTTGCAATTTCGAAACTCCTCTGGGTTATCTTTTAAAGAGTTCAAGTCTAAAGTGAAGCTGGTCATTAACCCCAAGTTAAACACAAATCCATGCACGAGACTGTCTAACCGTTAGGCGGACAGATCAATACATACTTACACGATAAAATCAAATGCCATAATTGCTTATAAGTTAAACACAAATCCATGCACGAGACTGTCTAACCGTTAGGCGGACAGATCAATACATACTTACACGATAAAATCAAATGCCATAATTGCTTATATTGTCATTTAAAGTACGATGTTTTCTAATGAAAGTATGCATATTTGTTACTAAAATCACCCCATGATCTCACACAACTCGATTATGCACGTAAAAAAGGGCCACAACGCACAATACAATTTGTGCCTTTGTAACGTGTGCTCTCAAAATGTGTAACACCAAAACGAACCATTCAACTGCATCTCATTCTCAATTGAATCAAAATCCCACTCCTCACGTAATTACTACCTCCTGTTCATTATAAATGTCGTTTTGACTTTTGTGATTCATCCATTTTATTATGTATCTAGACATTAATATGTCTAGATACATAACAAAATGGATGAATCAAAAAAGTCAAAACGACATTTATAATGAATAGGAGGGAGTACAATATAAAAATGAGAAATTTGATGCCCCTTTTTTTGAGCGCTAATCAACTGCACGATTACTGTCTACTTCTCACGGGCACATGTTGGAGCTTGTTATTAACCGAATGGGAAATAAGAGCTCCAAACAGAGCAGATACCCCAACCCCAACAATAAATGAAGGCATATGAAAACCCGAAGGTTTTATATTTTTGTTGTTCATGATGTCCCAATGCAATGTAACATCTTCTAGATGCCATAAACTCATGTGAAGCCCAAGAGTCATCAGAAGATCCTCATCGTCTTTTGCCTGAAGTACTTGCAAACAAATCGGGCAACAAACTGCTGAATTTTCTCCTTTTTTCAATGAGATGACTCTACTCGCTACTGCCAAGGCTTTATCTCTTACAGATGGCATAGTGCTAGAGTTGGTCGGGCTAGAATTCTGGAGAAGAAAAAATCGTACAAGTGAGAAAAAAAAAATCCAAACTAAACAATTTTTATTCGGTGAAAAAGGAAAAGAAGAAAAGAAGAAAATGTACCATCATGAAATTAGACAATCGCAACCACATTTCTTTTGGAGAAATCCTCATTTTACCTCAACTAGTTCCTGCACCCAACCAGAGGAAAAAAAAAATGGATAGAAACTGTAACGAATGGTTAATTTGCCTGTAATATCGATTATTATATTGCAACAAGAAAGAACTGTCAAATAACTTACGAGCCACAGTACGAGAAAAATAGGCTTAAAAAGAGCAACTCATAGCACGAAATATTAACTACGTTTTCCCGTCTCAAATTTGTTTATCAGTCCTTCGAGAAGAAAGCTTGCGTGTTTCTTTATTTGTTTTATCGATTTCAAACCCCCGAGAACAAACATTGGCAAAGGTAATACAAAACACAACAAATTACCAGTTTCAAACACTAATTCAACTAAACTCTTTGCAATCTGCAATCCTACCTGAACCTTAACTATGCATCGTATCATAGAACATTACAAAAGAGGCATAAAACAACCGATTTCGATCCAGTACACGTACTACTATGAGTTTTCTGTCCTATTCCTTCTTTTTTTTTTCTTCAACCACAATTTGCCATACCTTTCTGTTCAAAATCAAACCCAGTACAGAAACTTTCACATCAATTGCACAACAAATAAAATCATCCCCAATCTTGAACTATAAAAACAACTAAGATTTTTTCTGATTTATTTATTTTTCCTTTTATTAATTTTATTAATTCAAACGCAGAACAAGAATAAAAACAGCATCAGTTGCACAGACAACAAAATTTCTCCCCAATCAAGAACTATGAATAACTAAAGAATAAACAGTGCACCTTCTCCCCAACCCTAAATCGGCTCGGGAAAAGGAA